TTCTGGTTTATTTACTGCACCGCGTTTGTTAAGTGAATTCAGGCTGTATCCAGGAAACCGCAACAAACCCACAAAACATCACACATAAAATGCTTGCGTTTTCTCTTTGCCACCAATCGTAGCTAATGCATGTTTCGTCCTCCTCAAGACTCCTCAGTGCATCAAATGCCTCTTTTATTTGAAAAAATGTCTCGCCTCGGCATCGAGAATTGAAAGGACCATTGCAAAAACCTGGTAAGTCAGACAATTTGAATTTTTGATGACAGTAACTGACATAGAAATAGAATAACCTAAAAATTACAAAAATATTCACTTTGTGAAATAGTCTTGAAAGTGATCATTATACAAAAGTTCGAGTCCTAATAAATGGCCAATACTAGAAGCATCTACCAAGTTTTACCAAAAGCTCACAAGTTATCGAGCTCGCTGATAACGAGCATGATATCGATTTTTTCGAAATCAGAATGGTGGTATCTGCAGTCAGCAGCATACAAAATTGACATATTCCTTAACAAGATATTATTCGAAATAAAATAGACTCTAATGCACGTTTTTTCTAAACTCTTTTTAAATTCACTATTTCACTATTAATTACGAAAGAAAATTATCAATTGCATATTGTTGTCGTATCGGCAAGTAATACAACACCATACATGCCTTCTACTCCGCAATCTATTTTACCACATCCCAATACAGCTTATGGTTATATACATTAATTACGAAAGAAAATTATCAATTGCATATTGTTGTCGTATCGGCAAGTAATACAACACCATACATGCCTTCTACTCCGAAATCTATTTTACCACATCCCAATACAGCTTATAGTTATACTTTGAAGTTGAGTCATTAATTTTCAGATAATGATTGTAGAAGGAAGATAAACCAAAACATGTGTGTAAAAATAAAAAAAAATGTTACCTTGTTTTGTAATGTATCCTCCCGACAAGTATTTCAGTGCGGACCTGTATTTGATCGTGCGGTCTTGGAGCACCGGCATGCCCTCCCCTGTGAGGTCTTAAGTCACCTGATTCACGAGCCCTTTGTACTACATTAACAGGGGTTGGTTGCACTCGATTGGGAAACCGATCCGCATAAATCCGTGATGCCGCGGCAGCATTTTGTAAAGACCTCCCCGTAAATAAGAATCATGTCCACAAATTCAGCATTTTCGTAAACATGTGCCATTTTAATTTCGTTTGAGCCACGCAACACGGACCACTATTCACTCACGCGTTACCGACTGACACATTGACTGAATACAACTGAATAAAATTGTAGTAAAAACATCGTGATATGCGTTTCAAATTCTTTCGCTTTTTTGTTTCCGATGCGATGAACCGATAAGGCGGATTATATCCGTTGTTGCCAAACACGAGCATATAATATTATTATTGAAACAGGGCGGTACTCAAACTTCCAAAGGGCTATAACTTTGTTACTTTAATTTTACCAAAAAAATGGTAAAGGAAAAAAACATTTCTTTTGATCAGATCTACTCACTGTTAAAATAAATGACTCAACTTCGAAGTCATACATACATCATACACAGGACCACATTTTAAGGGGTGTCTTCTATGTAACATTTTTTCCTCTAGGGCTTCATTAAAAAGATACGGGCTGGTGAAGTTTGAAAAAAATATTTTTTTTTAATTCTTCAAAATCGTCAACTAGAATAAAGTAAAATTTGGTATATGGATTTAGCCTAAGTATTGTCCACATTTAAAAGTCTTTACTCAAAATTAACGTGCACCAGTGACGGAGATACAGGGGATTAGTGGCATTATTTTTCCAAATAAAAATAGTACGCCACTGTTTTTTTTTCGAATTTAACCTTCAGTTATTACAAATAATTACTCTTGTGTTTTTTCCTAAAGTGTACTGTGTCCGTAAACGTAAAAATAAAACAAATGAGATCATTTGTGAAGATCCGAGATACAATTAGATTCAAAATAAAATAGGAGGCCTTGATACTAACTTAACGTTTCTTGAGAGATTGTTTGCCAGAGTTATTTGTTATACGGTGGTTATCGTTACTACCATCGTTTTTGTAAAAGTCAAGTCAAAAGTTTATTTTTTCCGTTTTTGAGTGTTGTTAAACGGAATTTAGCAAATATGAGTACGCCGATATAATTTTTATGTACATGCTCTGTAATGGAAATGATTTAGCAACGATATATTGGCACAAACGCACCCGAACATTGGCCTGCGAGGTCTCCTGATTTGAACCCCCTGTATTTCTTTTTGTGGGGCGGTTTTAAACAACTACTGTATGCTGAACAAATTTTAATACTGTTGATCAGTTACAACAAAGAACAGATAATGCGTTTCATCAAATTCAAGTAACAACGAATTTTGCCGAAATACGTTTTTCTTTATTAAAAAGATGCTGCACTTTTATCCGTCATTTGTTTTTTTTACAACAAAAACGATGCACCCTAGGAAAAAACTCAAGAGTAATTATTTGTAGAAATTTAAAGGTAAAATTTGAAAAGCTGCCTGTTTAAAAAAACAGTGGCGTACTCTTATTTGGAAAAATAATGTCGCTAATCCCCTGTAACTCCGCCACTGGTGCACGTTAATTTTATGTAAAAACTTTTGAATGTGTACAGTACTTAGGTAAATCCACATATCACATTTTAGTTCATTCCAGTTGACGGTTTTAAAGATATTAAAAAAAATTGTTTTTTGTTTTTAAACTTCGACACCCTGTATCTTTTCAATGAAGTGCCCGAGGAAAAATATTACATAAAAGACCCCCCTTAAAATACGGTCCTGTGTCCGATATTTCATTTTTGGTCGCAACTTGTGAATCACCCTGTATATAATTATAAAAATGTGGCACTATTTGATAATAGACTTTTTTGACACAAGCTTCTCGTCATTTTGACGTTTGATGTTATCAAAAGATGAATTATTATGCATGTCTACAACTGCGAGCAAAATCTGGAGTCAAATGCTAAAACAATGTTTGAGACTTTTAACCAGTTTATTTTTTGTTCACGAATTACTGCGTGCCGTTGATTTCTTATAAAAAATTTCTGAAATTTACATAAAGATCCATTCACTGAAATAGACTTCAAAAAAGTACACATCAGTTTCCGATAAACGCGATTCTTTCTCGCTCCGTCAGGCAGTAGGTCACGTTGCCCCGCCATAAAATCGCAAAATCAGTTTCCAAACACTATCGAGCCGAAACTACAAAGTAGTAAATCCTGTGACGTGTCAACAAAGCTCGTGTGGCCGTGAAACGCAACATCGCGTCACTTTTTCGCCCGCGCTTGGAAAACTTTATTAAATCCGGCGCGAAACACGTAAGCTCTGCATTAGCGCATTACAAACTACAAAGTGCCTTTTTGCCTGGTTTCCCTCTATCAGGAGGAATATTGATTCCTATGCACGAACGCTGAGCTAGGTTTCTAAATTTTTTGGATGGAAATATTTTGCCTAAATAATTGTTTAACTGAGATCCATGTAAAACGTCACTATGAGGGTCTTTAGTTTACTCCGATAGAAAGCTACATCTGTTTTCGGGCTGAACTGTTTGCTTTCCGTCTCTGTAACCATTTCCAACCATAGACAATGTTGTTCCATGCTTAGGAGGTGTCACCTCGTTGTGTAATACATACTGAGTTTTCCAGTAGACCATTACCTAACCAAACCTATACATTTGGTCTAACACCTGAAACTTATCCTGTGGTTTTCATGGTGCCCTAAGCCTATACAGTACTGATGATTCCTGACAATCATGAAATGTTTGATCGTCGTTATAGAGATTGAAAGCGAACGTACTCAATTCTGCCTGTGCATGTTCTTGTAATTTTTGCATTCGTTGTCAGAGAGCAACTGTCGGTTAGTGATGGTCAGAAGGCGTAGGGGACACTTAGCATTTTGGGCCGAAGCTTTGGCCTCTTTGTACATTTGTCTTCTGTCATTCAACTCCCTTTAACATTTATGTCTCCCGTTATAATCTCTCTCTCTCAACCAACGAATTCAGACTAGGTAAAAGGAGTAAGTCTACGATTTCTTTGTCTTCAAAATCTCATAGTCTGTAGTTAGGATGGAAGTTCATACTACAGTCGTTTAGGCTTAAACCGTCAGTTCAACAGTTGTCAGCATTTCACATGAAATTCGCCTTTTTCAGTGAAAACATATAAAAGTGTGTGGGTTCCATACAGTACTCATGTTCCAGACAATTATCGAGAACGGTGAAGGTTTTTGTGGAATGCAAAAGGCCGTTCAAAACTCAATAATCGATATGAGTGTGAATATGTTAATGTCATGCACCCCAACGCTCAGTTTTTACCTGGACATGTCTGACGTAATTAAGATTTATTTCAGTCTACTTCTTGTTCCTTTGAGTACTCATTCTGAATCTGAGCTTGTCAGCAGGGTTGAGAGATGCAAAAATATAAATCCGCAGCAGTAAGGCGATCGAAATTCGGAAGGCCAGACAGCAAATTTGTTCTGTGTTCATATGAAAATTCTTCATGAATGCTACACAAATATTGAACGAACTACAATATTATTAAAAACACTTACAATGTTGAAATCCTGTTTCAGGAAAAGCAATCTCGAAAACGGAGAAAGGCATCAGAAAACATGAAAACAACTTCACACGTCACATATGGAAAACTGATTTTTGCTAGAATTCATTAACAAGGGTCTTTGAACTTGTTTAGGTAAAATCCGTACTAATAATCCTCAATCAACTAGTATACTCGTAGATTTTACTTATGGTTTAAAAAGCGTCATTAATAAATTTTATCAATGATTAATTTTCCATACGTGACGTGTGCAGTTGTAGTTTTCATGTTATCCTATTTTTCTTTTTGATTGCCTATCCTCAAACAGGATTTCGACGTTGTAGGTGGTTTTTGATTAATATTGTCATGAACATTGTAATTCATTCAATATTTTTGTAGAAATCCTAAAGAAGAAAATAAAGAATAAAGGCACATGGTAATGACGCACTGCAATGGCAGTCGGTTCGTCTGGACGTTGGCCAAACAGATTGGAAGGAACCTCTCACAGAATACCTCCACTTACGTGTCAGCATGGAGCGATTGTACCCGACTCAAAGACTAAGGCGGAAGTGCTTGCCATGATCTTTGCTGCCAACTCCACTGTGGACGCCGCCCACCCCCCTCCCCTTCCAACGTCCAAGTGCCGTCGATTCAAAGGACTACACTATGCGGAAAGTTACATTCAGACATAAGACGTAAGTGAGATGGGTACTCTTGTCGCTCGGCATCAACAAAGCTTCTGGCCCGGACTTGATTCCTGCCGTTATATTGAAGAGGTGCACAGCGGAGCTTGCTCCAGTCCTTTCGCGTCTCTTCCATATATCTTACGATTACGGCACCTTCTCAGAAGACTGGAAATTTGCTCATGTCCAACCGATCCCAAAAAAAGATTTTAAGACCTATACTACAGGCCTATAGCTCTGCTTTCTAGTATAAGTAAGATGATGGAGAGGTGCATAAATTGTGAACTTCGTCACGGATTGGTTAACGACAGGCAATATGGTTTCCGGCACCAGCGATCCACAGGGGACCTCCTAGCTTACGTCACGTAATTGTGGAGTAAACCCATCCAGTCTTATGATGAGGCTCATGTTACTTTTGATATCTCGAAAGCGTTAACATCTCCGTCGTAATTGACGGGTTCTTCTCTTCATCCCACAATGTCAACGCGGGTGTTCCCCATGGATCGCACTTTACTCCAACACTGTTCCTCTTACATATTAACGACCATGTTTTCTGTACAGTCAGCCCAATCCACAGCTTTGCTGATGATAGCACTCTACATGCAGGAATTCAGATCGATAAGCCGATCTATGCCGGTGAGCGGAAGAAGCCTAGCGGCGACTTCCTCTCTGACGAGAGCGTCCCCAAGATGTTACCTCTTAGGGACGCAACAATCTTGTACAGCTTAATCCCTCCAGAACAAGGTACTGTACTTTGATGGACAAAAGGCGTCCTAGGGCTCATCCGGTTTCGATGGATGGCCGAGTTCTGCCAAAGAACCATTCATTTCGGCTGGTCGGGCTGTCCGACTGATCGATGACTCTTCGCAACCTCAGGATTTCTGTTTTTACTTTTTAACGGGATTGTATTCCTAACAACGGCATTGAGAAATGAAAAATATTGGAGAAAAACCAAATTTTTTAATGGATACTAAAAAGGGTCTACTGAAACTTCAACTTTGGGTTGTAACTGCTTTAATTTTGAATCTAAAGGTAATCAGTTTCACGATATAAATAGTAATTTTAAATTCCCTTTTTGTTGCCACGAGATTCTGACGAGGAAGCTCATTAGCCCTAAATGAGATGAATATATCTACCTATCGAGTTAATTCAAATTTTATTTTATTATTACATAAATATAGTGACAATGTCATAATATCAGTAATTTCCACATTATGCTCAAATAGGTATTTGCTTATAGCTAAGAATCTGCTCAATCACAACAACTATTTATAAAAATCCAGTAGATAGTTTTTTGTATTTTCCATCTCCCAACGCTAGGAATTAAGCTATAATTTATTCATATGCTATAGCGTTAATGAAAATTCAATTTCGTTTTTTGCCTTATTTAATTTGTCTCTGTTTATCGACAATAACTGAGCGATTCGCATCACAACATAGATAGTATTTCTGCATTGCTAAACGTGGGTACACCCAGAATGACTGGCTACTTTTTTACATCTCCAAAGAAAAAATGACGCTCACGTATTGGCCTATCACTTTGGTAAGCAATGGAGGGCAAATGAGCCAAAATATGAACTAAAAGAGGGGATAGGTTGTAACAGCTACACTGTGATTCGGTGACGAATCTGGAATGTAGGAATGATTTTTTAGGATATATTGCTGATTTTCAGTCACTGCCAATTTTTGCAGCCAGCTGCTCCAACAAAGCCAATTTTTTTAATTTACTAATTTATTTGCGTAATTCTCAAACAACATGTGATTATAGTAAAACATTTTTGTTTCAGGTTTTTTTGAGAAAATGCTTTTCTCAACAGCTATACTCCTACTAGGATACGTTAACTTAGGACACTCATATACAAGTAAGTAGTGGTACTCGAGTATCATTTTATTCACGCTATGACGGACAATATATTATTTTTTTGAAACCCAGGAGCTTCTATAAAAAATTGAGCTTCCAATATTTTTTCCTTCCCTCGTCATTTGGTGAGATAATATAGTAATCGCAAGAAATATCGTACGTATTGTGGTATGCTTTGGATGTTAGATGACATGTACATTATGAAAAACCATAATTATTGATCTCTCTAAAACTAAAGATGTCAAAGACGTAAAGCTATGCGCGAAAACGAATAATTTCAGGAGGCTACCCAATTTTGTTTTTAGATGTTTTTCGAGCTTCTGATCAATTTCCAGCATGGACAAAAAACTTTTGGGGGGTTAGGAATTTTAGAGGAATTCCTACCTTCAGTTGTGGAGGTTTTTCCAATTTCGGATCATTTCAGGGCATAGTCACAAAATTTTAATGTACACATCGATTCTGAAAGTCACCTATTTCACTTATCACCAATGACGCATATAATTGCACAAGACCATAAGATGTTTACCCAGAAACCAGAGTATACTTACCCAAAGGTTTTTGATGCGCTGAATCCGAATCTGATGTCCAAATATCTGGCTCTAGTTTTCCAGATATCCTAACCTAAAAGTGCAAGAATACCTATATTTGCCCATATTTGAGGTTATCTAGCAGGTCGAATTATTTTTCCTTGTCAAAAAACTATAGACATCTGAAACTGCAATACACGCCCATTCAAGTACCGTCGATTTTGACTAAATACCTTATCTATATCTTTCTTTTTCGATATGGCACCCTAAAATTTCAATTTTCCTGAATATATGTAACTACATTTGATATTCTACATGTTATGATTACGAATGCAGTAAAGTTGTGATTTAAATTATAATACACTAAAAAATTTAATAACCTTAAATATTTTTATGAAATAAGACCTGTCAACTTAAAAACCCATAAATCCACTACAGACATAATACAATATGTCTAAAACATACCCAAATCACAAGCTCACAACCCACCCTATCAAGGCCGAGCTTAACGTACTTACTTTCAATTGAACCCTTCTTTTTTAATATAAATTGCTTTCTTCTGATAAAAGATGAACCGGATCTAGATCAAAGAAATTAAAATTATAAAGTGCCAAATCCTAGCGAAAAAAAAATATTTTAGCAGACTCAATGGCATTTGAAAGGGCAAAGTTGCGCATTGAGACGCTGTCAATACTTTTATTGAAAAAAATTATTCGTCATGCTGCATAACCCAAGATATACGCAAAAATCGCTAATTTTGCAGTTTTAGGTTAGGATATCTCGGAGACTAGAGCTCTTTGAAAGATTTGAGATGATAAAAAACCTATAAAACGTCAAAAAAAACCTATAAAATGTCATCTTGCAGACTAGGTAGTTTTTAAGGTACAAACAGTCAGTCCATGTTTGCTCAAAACAATCGTTGTGAGCGTCCATGTATGGAGGAATGACTCAACTAAACTACACGCATTGTTGGTTGCATACGTTTCGTGAAGCCCAGTGGTCTGTAGTTTTCATCTCTGAGAAGAAAGTTGGCTGAATAGCAATATCGCGTCTGGATGATTATGTGCATTGATCTGCATGTGTATAAAATTAGTGATATTTGCTATGTGAGAAAATCATTACTGAATATGCTGCCGATGAAGTATATCTATTAGCTGTGCCCGACGAGTTTGTTGTGCTTTCTTAAGAGAGGTTATGTGCAAAGTTATATATTACGAAAAATTTTGAGAATTACGGGAAGTTGCCATCGCGCCCGCGTTGTGTGTAATTACTGTTAGCATGTATACGGCTTATAATTTGACAGTGTACAGTAAATATAATTATTTCTTATCTCTCTCATTTTTGAAATCCAGCAAATTTGCATATGCAATTTCCTGAATAGATAGGAAAAAGTGGATGCGCAACTAATTTCTAGCTTTGAATCTCAAGTAAGTGCATTTGAGACAAGAATTCAATGGAATTATCACATACGAGTACAACTTACAGCTTAGACCTCCAGTAATGCCATCTCTGAAGCAGATTTTACATCACATCAGAGCCAAAAATTGATAACTAAGGCCCGTATCGTGAGTCGTCCCTACAATAATTGTAGGGCGCCTTTATGGCCTCCTTGATTGTCATAGTTTTCTGCTTCTCCGTGTCAGAACTCTATTTTGAGGTTATGTCACAAACATCTATTTGCATCAAATTGTGCTTGCTTTTGAGTTATATCATGTTTTATCAGCCTCAAAAATTTCCTACAATTTAAAAAGAGAATATATCTTCACAATAGGAGAGCACTGACGTTGACACGGGACAAGTGTAATCTAGAAATTTTTGAAGGAGAGAAAGGAGGATGACAATCAGGGAGGCCACAAACGCGCCCTACAATTGTAGGGACGACTGACGATATGGGCCTAAAGCCTCATGACGTTTAGGCAACACGTACAACTAAGTTCTAGGTTAACATCTTGTAGGAAAACCTAAATATTGTCAAAAAAACAGTAAAATGTAGAAACGTCACTTTTCCAAGATACGTAATACCCGTGCAGCTCGCTTTTGTCGACCTGTGTAATTTAAGCGTACCTAAAATCTTGGCAAGCTTATTATAGTACATGGGAAGTACTGAGACAACATCCTCGATTTCACTTTGTCATAGCAATACTGATCCTGATGACTAGTGTACACTAAGTCATCGAACGTATCGATTTCCCTCGTAGTGATGAAAATCGGGTGCGAAGCGTTTCCACAAAGGAACTGAATCCGGTAGACGCGACAGAGAGTAGACTATCCAAAGGGTGAATAACTTCGAACTTTTCCACTCAATGAGTGCTCAATTTTTGCAAGGGCTTCTAATGGTGTGGATATGAGAGCAGCCAAGTGGAAATAATCTGATTTTCAGACAGTTCAGTCGTTTCTTTAAATAATTTTTAACCGACACTATATAATTTAGCGAAAATGGGTGACTATTGTGGACAATAATGCCAAAAATGTGAACGTTCAGTTCAATTACTGGAGTAAAAAGTTGCGTCAAGTAGGTTGACTCTGTACCTCACACGTGATTCTAGACAAATGAACTTTGTATATGCATCATGTGAGTCATCTTTTGTACGCCCTGACATCTTAATTGTTTGCTGGCTATGATAGAGTAGAATGAATATTAGTGAAGGAAAGCATTGGCAAAAATTGAAATTGGGGACTTTGAGTACGCACGATGTGTAATATCTGAATCAACTTTCTTACTTTTTGGTAGGCTGACTATTGGTCGGCTATGAAAGCTCTTACAGCGGGTCGTGTAATATAATAAATATGATTGGATAAAAATTAGTTCGAGTTTAATTTTTTTTAAAATAATTGACGACAGCTTTTGTATGCTCTGGTATATTTTTTTGGTTGAGGAAGGATAACAAAATAGATTACATTCTTCATTCCACAAAATAACTTCATATTCGCATAAGACTAGTGAACGTCTATTCGTTATTTCACACCTGAATAGCTACAGCCCTAATGATGTCACCCTATCTGATTATTTATATTTAATAAACTATATTGCAATATATATATTTGCGAGATTTTTTACAGCTATAGCCGTTTCTCGCTTCTCAAACGCCACAGTTTTCGATCCTCCCAGTCACCCTCCTGAAGATTTCTTGTCCTGATGGCTACTCTGACATCAGTTTTCCAACTCCTGGGTAGCCGGCCGCGTTTCCTCTTCTCCGCAGGGATCAATTCCATATTTTTTTGGCCAGCTATCGTTGTTCATACATTGTAAGTGACCATACCATATAAGTCTCTTGAGCTCGATAGTGTCCATAATATTCTCTTCTACTCCCATTTTCCTTCTTATCTCCTCGTTCCGAATATGGTCCAATCTTGATATATTGCCCTGATAGTCACAATTGTTACACTTCCCTCTTATCAGCTGTCCAGGTAGAAATTCGTCCTGTAGGTGTTTGCCCAAGGGCGAGTAGCGGCTAATACACTTTATAAATAAAACATGTCTGCCATTCTTAAGGACAAATCGAAGTATACTCATATATGTGTGAAATATGCCTAAAGGCGCGTTGGATTACAGAGGTTAGAAGCTTGTAAATATACTGCATCCAAAGATTTGCAATGCACTCTCCCTAACCTCCCTATAGATTTTTTTAGAAGTGATCGAGGACCCAGCGATTTTTATAATTTTTTTTTTCCGTTTTTGGACTATTTTCTGTGGCTCCACTGAGCCGATTTTCATAAATTACAACGCTTTGTTCTTGGCATAATAGTAACTTGGGTTGGAAACTTCACAAAATCCGGGCTCCCAGTTATAAACGGGACAAGGATTAGCGGACAAACCGACAGACTGAAATACAGACAGATAGGCCGACGAAAATGGTGACATGGTTTTTCGTGATGTACATCATATAACACCTAAAAAACATAATTATCTCGTTTTCAAAATGTTTCGCCTTTACAATACTTCCTCGGCTGTAGGAGTGGGAAGAAAAATGAAAGTTCAAAGCATTCGTATGTTCTAAAACACAGGTGTCTGCGAAAGGCTGGGAAATCTCGAAACTGGAGATACTACAGACCAAAATATCTCAATTTAACTAAACATACCTTAGTCCAAAAGTTGATAGTTTGCGAGATACAGGGTGTCAAAAAGTTACAGTTTTATTTTCTATTTTTCCTTATTGCTTGAGAAGTATTTCAGATTTTGGCATAAAACTCGGTATCGGAAAGTTTTCTAGTATGAGGAACAAGAAACCGTTATTTTTTATGGCCAAACTTCTAGAGGGCGCCACTTACAGTAGTATTTCGGTAAATAATTTATCATAACTTTTTTGTGCTACGCTGTATACAGAAACTGACCAAAAAATCTTGTTTCCTCGTATTTCCACAACAGAAAAGGTTGTGAAGTGTCTAAAGCTTATCGTTTTCGAGATATTTGCTTTTAAAGGTTCCAATGCATTATTTGTACCATGATGATAAAACATTTTTATAACATAATAATCAAGTTGCTCTGGATAATATCTGAGTAGCGCGGTTTTTAACAATAACAAATGAGGATGGCAACAAGACTAATAAACGGAAATAATAACTACAAGAATTGCTCAAAATGAGCATCACCTTGCCTAAAACATACTCGAGCTCGAAGAACTAATCCTTGCCGCACTCTCCAAAGCATTTGGATGTTATTTTTCATTTCCTGGCTATGGTGGAAAATTCTTTGGCGAAGATCATCTACAGTTTTGTAAACGCGTCGTTTTAAAGCACCCCAGAAGAAGAAATCCATGGGATTTAAATCTGGTGATCTAGCCGGCCACGATACAGGTCCTATCCGCTGGTCTGGATAAACTCTATTTAGGTGCTCTCTAATATACTAAAATGAGGTGGAGCGCCACATATTCATGCGTGTTTGAATTGGAAGATCTTCCAGCAGAGTTGGTAATTATTTTTCAAGAAATTGTAAGTACCTTTGCCCATTTAGTCTAGGTGGTAACTCAACAGGTCCTATTAAATATTGTCCAATTATTCCTGCCCATAAATTAATTTGAAATTGTACTTGGTGGCGGGTTTGTATTATTGTATGATGATTTTCGTCTGCATAAATTTGAAGATTATGCAAGTTGATGGGCCCATCCCTTCCAAATCCTGCTTCGTCCGAAAATAATATTAGCGAAGAAAAACCATTGTCGTGGTTAAACTTCCTTAAGAGCCATGACAAAATTCTACCCTTGCGGGGTCATCCTCCGCGCTTAAACCATGTACCTTTTGCAGGTGGTATGGATGGAGCAGTTGCTCTTGAAAAATGGTATTTACTGTACATTTGGAAACTTTAAATTCTCGAGCTACATTCTTAACCCCAACTGGTACAAATGATGCATTGGAACTTTTAAAAATAAATATCTCGAAAACTATTAGCTTCAGACACTTCTAACAAGTAAACCTTTTTTGTTATCGAAATACGAGAAAATGAAATTTTTCAATCAGTTGTGGTATACAGGGTAGCACAAAAAATGTATGAGAAGTCATTTGCCGAAATAGTGCTGGAAGAAGTATCTATAGTTTCGAGATTTCCCAACCTTTCGCAGACACCTTGTATATAAATGCAAATTTCAGGGGTGCTATCAACTTGACTCCAATCCTCTTAAAACTTAACCAACTGAAGGAAAGCTAATCCTTTAACTCAAACGACATACCTACAGGGTGTTTAAAATTCGACCCTCACCATTGAGATATCGGAAACTTTAAGAAATACGGAGTCGCTTAAATGGAGGCAAAGCTGTATATTTAGGTAATCAACGAAATGCCGTTTAGAAGGTTTCTAAATACCTAGGTAGGCCTCGAAATTATCAGATTGTCATATGTTTAGCATACCAAATTTATCTAAAATCACTCTTATTTTTTCCTGACTTTATTTGAAACCGGATTTAAGAGTAAATTGCATGTTGTCATTGTTAGTATTCTTCTCTAGAAGATGGGGTAGTTAAATTTTCAATTCGACATTTTTCCTTTCGACTTCCATCACCAACTTTGTTTTTTATAATATTGCAATTTTATACATTTAAATGGACCTTTCACTCCTAAATTCAGTGATCTATTTCCTTAGTTGACCATGCACTTGTTGTTGAATGAAAATTATAGGGAAATAAAAGAGTTATGGTGATATACCTGACCACAACATGACAGTTTTATTCATGGTAATAACAATAATAATCACAAATAAGCAAAGGTAAATTATAGCAGATATTCAAAATGTCCGTTGTTTTGTAAGCAAAGACGGACTATTATCTGTACAACATTGTTCACTGTTCGATTTGTTTCTCTTTTTCTCAGTCTTCCAAACTCTTTTGTTATGGTCAATTCGAGGTCTGGTCTGATATATGAAACAAATGAAATAGAATAATTTCAAGGCCTACGTAGGAAATTTAGTTTTTCTAATTTTTGACAATGTCAATGTATGACATATGAAGTCAGATTTAAAAACTATTTATCTGCGCAAAAATCCAATATGGCATCATATTGGAATTCTAATTATACTCGTAGCATCTTGTAGAGGAGAAAAAGTCACTTTGTTAATATGTAATTTAGTTTGAAATCCCACTGCAATTAATGTTAACATTGGAACGATTAGTACTTTGAATTTCGAAAGTTTCTAAGTAGTTGATTACCTAAATACGCAACTTTGCCACCGTTTAAGCGACTTCGTAATTACAATTTTCGAGACCTACCTATATTTGTTTGTGTCGTATTTGGAATATGGGTATTTGCTATTTATGATCCCGTAGTATACGATATTATTGAAGATTGTTATAGGAAACGACTATGTTTTCTGTAGAAATTACATTAATTTTTATCTTTTTTTCATCAGATACAATGAAGAACTGGATTCTATTCGGAGCGGAAACATTTATACAGCGGTGGTTTTAATGAAAGCAAATCCCGAAAAAAAGTTTCTCGTATAAAAAAATCATAATCAATGTAAAATTATCCGTGCACCGGTTGCAATAGCCTCAACAAAATGGAAAAGTGTATTTTAATTTCAAATCTTGAACAGATCTTGTAACTACAGTCTGCCTAACGGGTAAAGCCAGACCATTGCCGTATCTCATTAGGAGCCGCGTTTAAATTATACAATTTGTTATCACGGGCAGTGCATTACACAAGCGGAGGAACATTCAGCAAAAAACAAAAATCTCCTATTGAAATTGGTTCAAATGATAACTCAGGGCAGCAATGCTCTCAGAGTTTTTGTTCTGCTATATATTATAATCATCCCGCAGCTACTAAATAGTAACTGAAGATGATAATTTCAGGTCACTTTCTCTTATCCTCTTGAAAGAAATCTTTTTTTTTCAATACCCTGCATCTCGGTAAAGGGATATTTTAGGATCCGTCTTTATATAAACTTTTCAAAATCATTAATTTCATGAAGACCAAATAACCCCAACCACATAATATTTATCAACAAAATGGCAAAACATCAAATATAACAAAAAATGACTCAGATTTGTACCATTTGGAAATATCTTTCTCCTTTCCATCAATCTTTGTCTAGCTGTACCTCACAATAGTCTTTCGTTTGTTATATTTTTCAGTTGCAGTCTTAATGATATCTGCGATGTGCATAACGTTGGATTATTTTTTGACCACCACAGTTTCGAACACGGAGAGAATTGTCGTTTTTTAATAATTATCTAATCATTTTATCTTTGTTTCATTTTTAGTTTTTTTTGTGAGTATATATTGGGAATTGCTATCTTGTTAATGTCATTCGGGAGCGAGTTTAAATATTTCATATAATGTCTTAACCAAAATAAGTATCTTTATTGTCACTTCGACTTATTTAAATTGTCAATCAATGTATGCAGTGTGTCGCATCGGGAACTCCATCGACAGATTTCTCGATAAGTAGGCATATGATATTTTTGAAAATTTGGAAGTATACTAATGTCGATAGGGCAGCGGCAGCTAAAATATTTTTAAAGTGGTGGCACTTCCGGTTATACCGAAAGTTAATGCCAACTTGCTTATTTTAAATCGGACACCCTGTATATTACTCAATATTCGGATTCTATATAAAAGTCTAGTCACATTTCGTGTATAATCTCCTATACTCAAGTCTAACCGTTTTTGACATATTTCAAATTTCATGACAAAAATGACGTTTGCAGGCCCTAAAATAATTGTTCATTTCCCCTATGTAGGACACCTGATTGTTTAATGTGGATTGATTTTCTGGTGAACAGGAATATAGTTTAATAGACTTTGTATGACATTTCTATAATTATTTATACAGGGTGGTCAAAAAATTAGTATAAAAATTGAATGTCAAAAATTGCCAAAATTCGATTTTTTCAAATGAAAACCTATAAGTATATCGCATCAACCATTAGAAATTAGCGTAACTTTATACAGGGTTATCTATCCCAAAAATGTTTACTTTTCGAGTAATTTGCTATTTATTACTTTTTTGAAAAAGCCCTCGGGGAAAAAATGTTACATAGAAGCCCCCCTTAAAATGCAGTCCTGTGTATGATGTTTCATTTTTGGTGACGACTTGTGAATCACCCTGTATAACACCGTAATCAATTTTTTAACCCTCTATACTTTTTCGGTCTTACTTTCGTTCAAAAATTTCACTGAAATCCCAGCAGTATTTTTCAACCGACAGACAGACCGACAGAAATGTGTGATGTTTCTAAATTTTATTTCTCCTCGCCAATTGGCGTAGTAAGTGAAAAGACAAAATATACTCTCAAAATACAAGTACTTGCAAACCAAACATGTCTTTAAAAAATGCCTCGTATTTACTTTCAGAATATGGAAGATCTTGTAAGGACATCGGTTGCCCTAGCAACCAGATGTGCGTCATGGAAACAGACCCCTGCAGTTATTACCAGAGAGATGGGAACTGTGGCTCGTAAGTGCAAAATTTCAAAATATAATTTGTTCATTGAACAAAATAGAAAAAATGCAATGGCGTATATACAGGTTGTAAACGTTATGCCATTATTTAAATGGGGGTTAAGAGAGGCAAAAAGTTTCATATAACATGGCGGTCAAAACGGCATTTTTTAGAGAAAAGCGTCTTTAAAGTAAAATAAAATCTGACAACGCCGCAATGCCAGACGCAAATTACGGACGCTAACTGTCTCAGCGCTTCACCTGGTGTGTGAAAGTTTATTGAACGTATTAAAAAAATCCACTTATAAATAGGGAACACAATTTTGATACATACATTGTTTTTCTTTTTAAAACCCACACGGCACTTGTTTTGTATTTAAAGAAGGTGTTCAAAATGCTGTCCTCCACTTCCCAGACAAGCTTCATTACGATGAACCCAGTTTCTTCTTATTCTAGGTCCTCGAAGCTGTCCATTTATTATTTCAGTCGCATTAAATTTTTTTTCGCGAAGTTGTGCTTCAGTTGTTATCAGACCAGCCCCATAAACCATACCTTTAAGTTCTCTCCATTACCAGAAATCCATCGGATTGAGGTCAGGAGATCTTGCTGGCCATTTTCGAGGATCAGGAGCATTTCGACCGATCCAGCGATTTGGATAATGTTCATTCAAATACTGAATGACTCCTCTAAAAACGTGTGGTGGTGCCTCGTCATGAATAAACCACAAATTCTGTCTCCGTTGTAATGGCATGTTGTCTAAGGTATCCATCCTTCTTCTGACAACTTTGGGGGTAACTCGAAAGGGCCAATTACCTGATCATCAAGAACACTCGCCAAAATATTTATTTTAAAACGTTGCTGGAAATGACCTTCACGAATGGTATGAGGATTTTCTTGAGCCCACGTGTGAATATTATGGAAATGTTATATCCCGTCTCTCGTAAAAGTGCATTCGTCCGTCGTTAGAATGTTTTTAAAAAAATCCGGATTTTCAATGTTTTTGTGCAATATCTGGCAAATGTTGCGCACCATACGCTCGGCACATCAACGTGGGTATCTGCAATATTTTTCTCGTACAAAAGTGCGGGTACATGTGATAAACTGAAATGTGACTGGCACAAGTTGAGCTATATGTTGCGCGCCCCAGTGACTTGGCCCTTTTTTTTCGCGTATATTCCACATGTTGCAGACTTTACAGAGGAACATTTATGGAAAATGAGTTCCAATCGATTTGTCTAAAGATATATATATATATATATACAGGGTGTTCCTTAATGATATGCGAATATTTAAGGGTGTGAATCTACATGAAAAATTAATGTTAGTTTGCTTTATAAACTATGGTCCAAAAATGTTTCCTTACAAAAACTCGGGGTGTTGAAGTTTTAGGAAAAAATGGAAATTAATATTTTCAGAATCGCTTCAGCTATTTCACTGATATTTAGTGCGTAGTGAAAGTTAATAAAGTTGCATATTTTTCAATACCAAATTAATTTTTAGCTTTTACAGTGGGGTGCGTATGGGTATTGACTTCGATATTTTTTAAGAAAAAAATGGTACGCCAATGATTTTTTGCCAAATAAAAATTATTTTTGAATTCCCCGTTCAATTTAAAACAAATGATATATCATGAGTTGCTTTCGTTCGACGTGCCATTTTTGAGTGAAAAAATAAAAACCGTTAAATTGTCCGAGAAAATTAATGTAACAATTGAAGAATGCAATTTAGCAATAAATATCTAGTTGCTCTGGAATATGTCACTGGCTTTTGACATCTGACAAGTCTCTGTTATTTAAATCTATTCGCTGTGGCATCTTTTTCATTATTTAGTTTTTACAATCTTGTTAATATTGGTGAATTATTCAAATGCAGAAATGGTGGAAATGGCAGGGATATTTCAATGAGTGCACAATTCCATGAGAAGGAGGGCAGAAGCATGCATACGAAGTAAAGGAGGCCATTTTCAACAATTTTTGTAATCACTTCATTGGTTAATGTTATGTTTATGTTGTCAGTTGTTGTTGTTCATTACCACTAATGTGTTTAATTTTTCCAATTAAATTAATAATAATTTTGCAAGTCAGACAATAGAACGGTTTTAATTTTTTTACTCAAAAATGGCGCATCGAAGAAAAACAATTCAAGAGAGATCATTTGTTTCAAATTGAACGGGAAATCCAAAAATAATTTTTATTTGGCAAAAAACTATTGGTGTACCATTTTTTTCTTAAAAAATATCGAAGTCAATACCCGTACGCACGCCACTGTTAAAGCTAAAAATTATTGTTACATTGAAAAATATGCAAATTTATTAACTTTGACTACATACTTAATATCAGTGAAATATCTGAAGCGGTTCTGTAAGGAAACATTTTTGGACCATAGCTTATGAAGCAAACTAAGATTAATTTTTCATGTAGATTCACACCCTTAAATATTCGCATATCATTAAGGAACACCCTGTATATTTTTTTCATCTTTCTGAACTGAAGTTCTCATGCGACCCAATAACTCTATGTTTAGCTTCTGGAAAATAGGGTCATTAAGTTTTCCGTTTCTCAAAAATGGTGGATGTGCAGATAAAATCAAATTTCAAATTCCTCAGCAAGTACCTAATCTAGTATAAAGGATAGAATATAGAAGAGCTGGTGCTCTTATTTATAGATATCATCCTCCAATTATCATTTATTTCGTGTTTGAAAGGTTGACCCAAACCGAAACATATGTCAGAAGAAGACCTAAACAAAGGAAAACTGAAACTAATAGTCATTGTTGAATTTAATTATAACCTACTGAAGGTTATGCGGCAGATGCTGCTGAACAAATTTGATATAGTGGAACCGTACCTAAACACGTACACACTCAAAGAAATACCCAGGGTTTGCGACATAATCTCTTCCATTTTGGCACTTAACTGGAACAAATGAAAACTTACCTTTCAGGTATCCAACGTGCAAAAAAATGACGAACGCTGCCCGAACCTGTGCAACCTATGTGTGCCCTCCAACTCAAGTTTGTAAAATGGACGGAAACACTCCAAAGTGTTTCTCTGATAGCAGCAAAAGTAAGAACCAATTCATTACTCACGATTGTTTGTAAAGATAGCTTAAAAGGTTGTCTATTTTTTTGAGATATCTGTTTCTAAAATGTCAGTGTATATGTATTCATTCTTCCTAAAGGAACTCACCTACGACCAGGAGATAAAGCGGATATGAGGTTAAGGTCGCACATCCTTTTTTTCAACAGTCTGTTTGAAGGAGTGATCTTAATTACTTTTTGTCTGATTGTTTCACAGTGAGTATATAGAGACAGCTGATGTTATTTGGTCAAAAAATACATTTTTAAGTGTTTGTTGTACTAATCGTAATTCGTTAACAAATAATATTACAGCTCTGAAGTTATATTTATGGTATATTAGTGATCGTAACTTTTCACTTAGCAGCGACTTTCTCTCTGACGGGAGACCTGGAGATCACTGCTTGGGGACGCAACAGTCTTGTACAGTTTACTGCTTCCAAAACACAGTACTGTACCTTGACGAACAAAAAGCGTCCTAGCGCACATGCGGTTTCGGTGGATGACTGAGATCTGCCAAAGAGCCGTTCATTTCGGCTGGTCGCCATCCTGATTACCGAGAACTTGATCGGGCATGCACACATCTCGTCATTTGCGACAGCTGCTGGGAAAAATCTACTCTATTTGTTTAGGCTAAGAAGTACGTTAGATACTCTTCTCCATATGACCACCTCGGTCTATCCAAGGCCCAAATAAGAACTAGCCCCGAGTATTGCTCACAATGTTTAGAGTGCTACCGCCCCAACTACATAACTCATGCTCGATGTATTCAAAAGAGGGCTGATTGATGACAGACAGCCTCGGGACCCTTTCTCACCGGCGGCCCGTCGGCGATCTGGTTCTCCTGTACCGCTACACCAATGAGCTTTGTCCCTCAGCGCTCTCCTTTATGATGCCGCCGCGCGATGTACCTGCCAGAGAGACCCGCCTGACTTATCAAACTTCGCAGATCCAGAACTGGCCGATACAACCGCTTCTTTATCCGTAGGGTGTTAAGAGTGTCGAGATTGCGGAACAATCTAGAAAAGGAGACTTTTTCCAGGTCGACTAACCTCAGGTAGTTCAAAAATCGGATTATCAACGATTCTTTGGGATCGTTATAGCAGTCGCGGTGCCCTGGAATGTAGGCTTCTGCCTGCGCGGCTGTTTCGGTGTAAAAAAAACATTCAGAAAAAATATATCGTGAATTCTCCTTCAAACAGATTGTTGAAAAAAGGGACGTGCACATAACGTTTTACTTTTCAATCCGTAAGCTTTTTTTTAATATAGAGACTGATCTTTGAACTAACTTATATCAAACACAATATGACAACCACGGGAACTGACATCAATTATTTTTTTAGCCAGCTGAAAAACTACTAATGAAAGTCCCATTTACCCTAAAGGCTGTAAAGTTAGTCAAAATATCACAAAAGCAAACTACTTTCTGGATATAAATTTAGTCAATTGTCCTTTTTGTTTAGAGAAAGTTCAATAGCTTCTCTCCTATCTATAGTAAAATAAATTATTTTTAGTTCTAGTTACAAGCTGCTGTGAATTTATAACTTTATCCGGTAATAGATCAAAGGCCGATTTATGAATCTCTCTAGGGGAGACTAAATATTGAAGGGGGGAGGCTGTTGACCCCTGCATGCTTAAGCAGTTGAGCAGCACATTTGAGAGCCTTGTAACAATTGAATAGCGGGGGGTCTCTTCTCACGATTCAGGTCAAGCAAGCCAACTTTTTCGCTAAGATGCAGTAATAGTTTCTGGAAAATAAGTGGCAGACTTGGGCGTGTATGTATCTCAGCCGTTTATAACCCGCAGCGGCAAATTGGACCTACAAGTAGAAGGATCCTGATACATGTCTGCTTTTGTACGATGTCTCATGATCTGTGCGATGTGCTAGGCTTACGAAATAAGTCAAAAGTTTCAAATATCAGTTTTCTGAGCCAATTTTACCCCTCATGTGTTCTTTAATTTGAATGCTGTTTTATTTTTTCACTAATCTACAGGTCAGGTGTCTTATGATACCAAGAACCAGAACAACGTAGGGGGTAGCGCTCCACAACCTAGCGCTCCAGTAGCTCCAAGTGGTGGCCTATATCCGAGCATACCACATGGAGAAACTACTCCACGACCAGGTGGATATCGACCCCCTTCTGGTGGTGGATATCAAGGTATGTATGGACAAACCTCAACAAAGCTAAAGTCTAATCATATTAGCAAATTTCCCGAAAATAATTGTAAAGTCTGGTTTATTGGTGAAAGTTGTTCAAGGAGGTATTTAAAACACGGACGCATAAAGTGGGTTTACCAATTTTTGTGGGAAAACTTTTTATTTTACAACAAAGAATCAGAAAACGTGTTTTTTGGAAGTCAATCGAAAGTATTGATAGGAACGAAAAAACTTTTGTATAAGATTTTTAGGTATTTATGAGACCTACATAATGAGACCACACCTAAAAAGATCCGTTTAATAGCAAAAATGTTATGGCCGAAAAACGAGGCAAAATTCAGGTTTTGGTACTGATAATTTCACGCACCTACTTGAAATTCTTCAAGTCCGTAGGATCCATACTTCTAAATAACAACAACAAGATTGGAGTATATTGATCAAATAGCTTTTTGAGAATTTCTAATTATTTATCCCAAAACACCTGTTTTCTGGCCATCACTACTAGTTTACTGAGCAATATACAGGTTTCGTTCAAAGAGCATTCAATAGCAAAATACACGTGTTTACGATATAAATCACAAACCATTCCGAAAGACAAATGTTATTTTTATGCAAAAAAGGGTGGGTAAAGTTTTTTCTTCTAAACAAATTCAAACATCGTATTTGTGAGTAATTGAACAAATGCGCTACAATATTCGGAAAACATACATTACTATACACATTTTAAAACGAAGTGGATGTGTCTATCATCTTTTGTTGCGAATTACTCACAAATACGAAGTGTTTGAATTTGTTTAAAATAAAAAACGTAACCCATCCTTTTTTGCATAAAAATAACATTTATCTTCCAGAATGTTTTGCGATTCATATCGGCAAGGTAAGCTAGTGTACTTTGCTATGAAATGCCGTTTGAACTAACCCTGTATATTGCTCAATAAACTAATAGTGATGGCCGAAAACAGGTGTCTTGAGATAAAAAATTAGAAATTCTCAAAAACTACTTGAACAATTTACTCCAATTTTGTTGTGGTTATTTAGAAGTACGAATCCTACGAATTCGAAGAATTTCAAATATCTGCGAGAAACCATCGTCGCATTACCAACAAATGCCCAAACTTGCAGTTTGCCTCGGTTTTCGGCCATAACTTTGTTGCTATTAGTTGGATCTTTTTACGTGTGGTCTCATTTTGTAGATCTCATAAATACCTAAAAATCTTATATGAAGAGTTTTTTCGTTCCTGCCAACATTTTCGATTGAATTTGAATGGAGAGTATCGAATCTTTCAAATTATTGTTTTAGGTGGCGCAGTAGGATCAGGATATCCTGGATACGGCGGATATACTCAACAACATGCTGGTGGAAATTATCAACAAGGAGGCTACCCTCAACAAGGAGCATATCCTCAAGGTTATCCTCAGTATCCACAAGGTAATGTAGAGTGTTCTTGGTATTAGTTACAGCTTTATTTTAGTAAGACCAACTTTATGTCTCATATACAGTATCAATGTTCTAGACATCCAAACTTAATGTTGTTTCATCTTTGGCAGGACTTATCGGAATAGCATTTATACAAATAACCGACTTTCATTTGTTACTATTTCGGTTGCTGAATTCTGATAGCCTTCTTTGCTGTCTTGAGGCCTATATCATACGGATAAGCCCTAACTAAGATGGATCAACTGCTGCAGTAATCTTAGGCATTGTGAGTGAAACTAGTATATCACGTTTCATGAACATATCCATCCATTTCATGAATTAATCTTAAATGATTATAACAGTCAGTAATATTATTATTGGACATAATCAGGATATCCTGGATATGGTGGATACCCACAACAGCGCTCTGGTAGTTACCCTCAGCAAAGTGGATATCCTCAACAAGCAGCGTATCCTCAAGGATATCCCCAATATCCACAAGGTAATCTAAATTGTTTTCAAAAAAATTTCGATATCAACAAAAAACAGAATAGTCGAAATATGGCATGCACCTTAGTATTAAGTTTTGCATGTGGCATATTGAAAATAAATGGTGTCTCTAATAGGTACTTTGATATTTTAAATTTCTCTACCAGTTTTCAATTACTCAAATATTTTATACAGGGTAGGCCATTACGGTGTGTATGAGGCCAAACAAATTTTTGATCGAACTGAGATACGCATACCCTCTATTTTTTTCATTTGTCTCTAACAACTCAAAAAATAAGTATTATTGCGATCGGGGAACGATAACCCGTGCCAACTTTCGGTCAAACTTTGAATTTGATGGTTAATATATTGGACAAATAAAACACTGCTTTATTTGTATTTTATATTTCTTAGATATTATTTTATCATTAAAAGAACATTATTTACTAAATTTTCTTATCAAAGTTTTTTTTTATATTCAGGACATACCTGCCTGTGTTCTTGTACGCATCATAATAAAAATTGTTTTTGTTCCTCATCAGCAGTGATTAAGCCATGGAGGTCTTGCATTAACTGGACTGCTCTTTCTGTCATATCGTTAACTTCTCTCAGTGTTTGCATGTTGAAAAGGATCATTATCTGGCCATGAAGTTGAACACTCGTCGAGAAAACTGGAATCAATTTTGAGTCGACTGAACAAGGACTTGCTTTTGATTGAAACAAAGTCATCGATTCTTTTCTCTGAAATGAAAATACGAAGAATAGCTACCATCTCAACATACTGGTACTGTCCGTCCGACCACAGACAGTCAACCATGGACAGATTTTTTGTGCTTTTTGGCAACTCGCCAGCATCGTCTAGTCTGAGGTATAAGATCTATCGAAGACGGTATAAGGTGCCATCTTTTGCCAGAATCGCAGTTTATGCTGGCTTGTTTTAATAGTTATCATATTATATCGGAAAGGAAAATTTAGTTGTCAGACTTACCATAAAGTGAGCCAAAAAGTTCTTCTTTCGATGGGATATAGCATTTACCGTGAGCCGATGGACTTTCTTTAGCTAAATTAGCAGCAATGTTTATTGTAGTTTCCTCGTCTACGTCGTTGTCAAACAGAGATAAGACAGAGACCTCATCTGTCAAATATCATAAATACTGACAGAACCTTTATAAAGCTGCTTTTGAAATGGTTTTGTCAATTTCTTCGTAAGCCTTCATCGCCTTAAAGAAGCATAAATCCTTATGTTTTTTCCGCTAAAGTGCATTGCGACCACGTTTTGACGTATTTTGTCACCATGAACAGGCATATACCTAACAGAGCTGTCTTATCCTTATTGGAAAGTTTTAACTGGGGATTAGGTAACTATTTTTAATGAATAGATTGGCCATCCACCGAGCTTGATGCATGGCGCGTGATGGTCAAATCTTCATTTTTTCTCTGTTTTCCGGTATAAATCTGTATTTTCTCAGGATTCACACTTTTCCAGCTCTCGCGAAACTTCTTAAACACTGGAATGTCAGAGCTTGTAGTCACTTGTTCGATCTTTGATTCAAACACCCCTTTTAACACCAATTCGTAGACGTAATGACGGCAAGCAAAAATAAGCATCTCTTTATTCAGTTTCTGTTTGAGAAGCACACAGCACCGTCAATGCGACCCGCATTTGAAGCATTAGTATCACAACAGAGAATCTGAACTTTATCTTCAAGATTCCAGTCAGTAATAGCATCCCAAACTGCCTCAGCCTTCTTGCTGTCTGAAGAGATATAACAATCGGTAGACTTGCGTGCATTTGAAAATGGCAGCAATTTGCTATTCCAGTGGACAGTTACAGTATCCGGTACCTCGCTTTGAAAATCAAGCTTTATAGCTTCTGCGCGCTCTTTTCGCTTTTATATACGAATTCTTTGAATGACTGATCCTCAATTTTTACTTCAATAATAAAAACAGCACCTCTCATACTTAACTGACACATATCTAATGCTGCCTCATTTGAGTTTGATTAATATCAGGCTGTGTGCTTTGAGTTGTGATGGGCAAAGTTTCTTGTAAATCTATCTCGGAATCTGAGGATGAATTCTCTTGTACTGGTTCGTAAGATGATGAAGCAGTTACGGAAGCAACATATTTAGCTGGCCGCTTTCTTTCTTCGGTGTTCCTAAGACGAGCCTTTTCTTCTTTTATGGCTAACTTCTTGTCCACCCCAGCTCAATGACCAGGTTCTCCTAGCTCTCTCTGTCGCTGCAAAAAGATTCTATCTTCATTTATCTCCATCAATTGAAGGACATCGGCATGCGCCATATCAAACAGATTGTCCAAGTTCGTAACAAACTCTTGTCGACGTTGCTCAAACACTTCTTATATACATATATCCTGATTGTAAAAAGAATATTCTGAACCGAAAATTTAGTAACTAATGTTCTTTTAATGATAAATATCTAAGAAATATAAGATACAAATAAATCAGTGTTTTATTTGTCGAATAAGAATTACGATTTGAAATCCATACACGGTTTCCCTATTGACTTTCAAATTTAAAGTTGGACCGAAGTCCGGGTTATCGTTCCACGATCGCAATAATATTTTTTTCGAGTTGTTAGAGTCAAATGGAAAAAATAGAGGGTATACGTTTGAAAAAAGAAGTTTCATTTTTTTGGGAAACCCTACTGGGAAATTTAAGTACCGCTTATATTGACTTCTAAGGCTAAGATCAAATTTACGACGTATCAGAAAATTAGTTTTACATTTGAAATTTACAAAATGGGAATAATACGATGCTTTTTCGGTTCGCCCAATGAGATAAAAACCGCTTGATCGATTAAAAATTTACTTGGCTGCCTCAGAATGGGTAATGCTTTTCGCGCGTGAGTATATACGAGGGCGATTCAATAGAGTTAGAAATGAAGTGACCATTTTCTCCAAAAAATATCTTTTTATTTTTCTACATAATCCCTTTTTAGAAAGATACTCTTTTCCCAACGTTCCTACCTTTTTTTTAAATTCGTTGTGCCGTCGTTTGATAGATGGCAGCACGCGATGATAACATTAACTTCCCTCAGGAACGCTCTGTCGTCAAACACGGGTACTTATTGAACCTCTCTCGTATGTACCAGTGGCTATATTAAAATTTTATAAAAACAAAATGGCGGATTTTAATAAAAAAATTCAACTGTGATATTCCTATTTCATGGATTACAGTCCAAATGTTTGACATACAAGGTGTTGGATTCGTGCCTTAGCAATGCGAGGGACACTGGCTATATTAAACTTTCATAAAATCAAAATAGCAGATTTCAATCGAAGGTTTCAGGTGAGAAATTTCTATTTCTCATACGTTGTACGAGGAGTCTCTAAAGTTGTAAAATTTCGTAAAATCGAGACGGCGGATATTAAACTTCAACCTAGAAATTTCTATTTCACGGGCTACTTCTTGAATTTTTACATTTGAGGTGTCTTTAGATTCGTCTTCATTTTTTGATGTTATATGACATATACATCACGAAAGTACCGCTCGGATTTTGATGAGATTTTTACGCAATGTCACTATTATGCCAAGAACTCAATCGGTCCAGTGGCGGCGGACAAAAAATACAATAACGAAAAAAAAATCGCCTAAACTCCGTTTTTTACGTTTTGAACGATCCTGATCATTTTCGGAAAACTTCTTGTAGGGCTTAGAAATTGGGAGTTGAGATTGGTATACCTATACGCCTCCAAGAAGGTGTAAGTTGTACCAATTATGATCCTTTACGAGGTAATGACAGCGTTGCGTGGGAGCCCAACTAACAATTAGCACTCCTATTAGAGTTGCAAGAATGATTGTACAGTATTCCTTAAACAGCATTATATACTGTAAGAACATTGGGAAAACCCTCTTAGAACAGCTATACAAGCGGAATGGGCATACCTAATAGGACACTTCAGTCATTTAAGAGGTTGTATAAGGGCTGCAGGTAACAGTTATACAACAAAAGTGTAAGCCTCTTGCAGCCGCTATAGGAAATTTGCGTCAGGGCAAGATTCAGTTTTTGTCAACTATACAACTATTCTGTTACGTGATTCTACTTTATTGCAACCAAACTATTTCTTATGTATTGTATAGACGAAGTGAAGAATATATAACTAACACATTACAGTCATCTTGTTTACTTACATATCGCCATTGTGAGTTTCAAAGACATGTATATGATAAACTTCTACACTGCGATATAGGGCTATTGAATTACTTGCGCGACAAATTTTATTGTGATTATCGTGCAAATTAGTTACGCAATTTCTACGGGCTTCGTATTTGATTCATATTTTGATAATGATCAAAAGTATGTCTAGATTTTTAAGATGGAGAACTGAACTTATCTGCGTTAAATCTTCCACAAATCCTATATTTAGACACAATTACACTAATGTTTATCACTTTATATCCATAATTTCGAACTGAAACATAATTATTATTAAATAGAGGAATAAATGTTTGCCCAATATGGCGGGTGGTTGTGTATAATCATGGCATCGTCCATGTTGTCTTTAGGTTATTAGAATATTTTGGTGTTGCCTACAGGTGTTATACACCGATTTGACAAATGTCTGAAATGAAATATCGACAGAGTCGAATGATCTATCCAGAATTTGTACCAGATGTATATCTTCTGTTTGAACAGTTGATAAAACCTTTTGAACCAATATGCATGCGTTGTTTGTCTTAAAACATTGGTTTTGGCATTTTAACAAAAATATGACAGCAGAACGTTAGGTTATGGGGAAGTTGTATACCAACATATTTAGCATATGTACAGCCTTTAACAGTTACTAAACAACAGTTGTAACATATAAGTGCTTCCGTTGGGAGCAATTTGTTGGCTAAAGTAGTAAATTGTACAGCAAAACAACAAGGCTCGGGTTTGTTTTATAAACGTTACCATGGATGCCACAACACAACCATTTTGACTAACGTGCAAATATGCCGTATAAAATAGTTGTATAAACGTTTGCCCTATAAGGTGTTGTATAACTATGCTATAAGAATATTTTAAACACCTCATTGTAGAGTTGCAGAAAGCAAATTTGCATTCCACACAACATTAAACCAGCATTTGATGTTCAGGCAACAAGAATAGAGAGCTTTTATGGCTGAACGGTTCTTTTACCACAAGCTTATACCACTACTTTGCTAATTGGGAGAGACAGAGCCAACTTACTTGACGCCATTTTTTAAAAATGTACTTGTTGCCAAAAAAATCATGTTTAGTCGCATTTGGGGATCAGAGAATCCACACATTGTTGAACAAGCCAATGCATATACAATCATTGACTTGACCAATCTTCGTCATTTGTAACTGTAGATACTAAGGTATGTATTTGTTACAATAAAGTCGATTGAATTGAACTGACTTTTTGGTGCGGTTTTTGGCCAGGCAGCATAATTAGGCCATTTTTCTTAAAAAAAGAGCGAGCAGCTTGTGTTTCAATGGCCAGCATTATCATGTCATGCTCATAGAATTTTTGTTCCTAAAAGTTCAAGAGAAAGACATGGATGACATTTGGTCTCAAAAATGTTGTGGCTTGTTTTTAAACACTGCCTCGGTGATGCCCAGTCAACGGTGTATATGATGTATAGTACTCGGGATAAAATTCTGTATGTACCGTGTAGCTCTGTCCGAGTCATTAATTATTGCTAAACGTCACAATACCAATTTTGAGAGCGGCGAAATTTCGATCAAACTAAATATTTAATAAAGCATTATTATGCAGCAAGAATGGAATTTCAAAGACCTAATCAATATAGTTGGAATACACGCACTCTGGTTTTAATTAATTTTTTTATATGGATGGATAATTCTTTCATTAGTTAGCTGTGCTTTACAACATACTTCGACAAAATCGGTTGTACATAATTTACAGTGAAGACCCATAAATATAATATAAATAAATTTGTACTTTGCCAACAACTGCTTGCTCAAGTGTTATCAAAGACGAGCGGTAAATCGACAAAAGTGAGTGACATATATTTTCAATACAAAACTTTCAGGTAACATGTTATCCCAAATTTTGAAATTTACGCGACCACAAGTATCTTCACTTCATGGAGAGTAAAAATATAGATATTGCATGTTACTATTTACTACCGAGATCATTTGCTTAGATTTAGGAGTTAGCATTTTTTCTTGCATTGCAGGTCAAGGCGGTTACCAAGGTTACCCAGGTTACCAAGGCTATCCAGGTTATCAGCAAGGTTACGGACAAAACAGATACGGCCAAAAATCTTCTGGATCTTCAATAACCGATCAGATAACGAGCTCGCTGAAGTCTATAGGTACAGATCTACTGAAAAATGCTCTAATAAAGGCTATCGCTGGCAAAAATTGACAATACTCTTAGTTTTGTGTACAATTAGTAGATCTTAATGCATTTATTATATGTCGCAGTGCTTGCTATCTGTAGTGTAACGTCTATTTATCATAATGGGTAGATGACCTAGTCTTTTAGCAGTAAAAAACCAAAATGCCATATATTGACAAAAGCAGTGATGTAAATATTTAACTTATGTTAGTTAAGTTTTTGCGCAACTGATGCAGTTTGGGCGGTATTTTTTTTTGCTTGCACTAATAATGTATTTACTAAAAGCGTGAAAATATTACCCAAATCATAAGTTAGTTTCAAGACCCTATATATCGTTGGAAGCCTTTTTTTTAAATGCTAATTTTAACACAAGTTTCTCCAAGCTTAGCATAATGCCCCGAAACCTGAATCCTTACACTAATCTCTTTCTTTTTTGCAGGGCTATTCTGCGTCATAATAAATTACCTATTATCAAGAATGTACGGAGTATGAAACATTACTGATCGCATTTAGTAGGCGTAATTGTTCCTTTTTTTAAATAAATTGTTGATTATATAACTCCAGTAATTTAAATTTGCCATAAATCTGCCGCAAGGTGAGTATTGCTGTTAAATGTACACTGCCATTCATAATATTGTAGAAAAACTAACAAAAACTTGTTTCTAACCACCTACAAAATAACTCAAATTGATCTGCAGTTTTCTACACTTGAAGTTCCTGAAGCTTTCTTTCATTATTTTTTTTTTGTTCTGTTATTGGCACTTCCTGAAGCTTTATATATTCACATATTCTAGATATCAAATCAATGTTCCATTGAGTTTGGAAATTTTGAATACTCCAAACACATCTGAAATACACTTTATAATTTGCATTTTTAGAGGCATCGAAATGTTTGTCCAAATCTAAATATCTGAGAACAGTATAAAAAGCAAAAATATTAGTTTTAAAGTATTTCTGAATATGAACGGTCGTGTATAAACTAAATATCCTAACAGTGCTAACACATTTTTGTTTTATTTTGCAATACTCCTGAAGTTTATTTGATGCACCATGTTTTGCACTCCATTACTGCAGAATAGCCCTTTTTAACAGTTTTAACAACAAATCTCTTCGAAATCATTTTTTTTATAAATACCTATGACCAAAAAGCTTTTTTAACAATTGCACCACTGGCTTTGGGTTCTACTAACTTGTCTTTGTTTTTGCTTATATTTTGAATTTTCTTCAAGGTGGATATTTCAAAAAGCTGCGTAACTCCGTGAGTAAAACCTTAGGAATATCTTCGTGAACTGTTGCATTTTATCTTTCGTGTTTGTATATTAGTACCTCACCCACGATAATAATACTCATTATATTTTTGATAACAACTTAGTTTAGTAAGTGGTAGGAATAAAATTGTGTATATTTTAAATTTATTATATATATATATATATATATATATATATATATATATATATATATATATATATATATATATATATAAATACCGAAATTTAAAATAAGTAAAACAAATATAAATGTGTTACAATGTTACCTGTTGCATCATTTTCTTCCATTTTCGTTGTGTGTATATGGAAGATCGAATTCGGTTTCGATTATCATAAAATGAAGTGGAATTCGGAATCTGCCCACCCGATTGTCTCAGGAAACGAGTTTATGTCTATATTTCAGATAGCGAGGAAAATGTTATCGCAAAAAGATATTATAGTGTTTTGAACCTCGAGACACCCCTGAAGCCTACAGGTACATTTTATTTGATTTTTTATAACGAAGCCGCTGCGTAGGCAGAAACCTAAATACCAGAGCACCGCTGCTGCTATAGGGAGCTTAAAGACACCTGATTAATCCTATTTTTGAACTGCTTAAGGTTATTAGTACTGGAAAAAGCCTCTTCGGGCAGGGGGTTCCACATCCAGCGACAGAGGAGCAGCCGTACCGGCCAGTCCTGGATATACAAAATTCGACACAATTAGGAAGGGGGCCGAACTTGATCTGTCTGACACCGCGAGAAGGCGTCATAGAGGAAAGCGAGGGTGCCGAGTCTGTCCGTTAGAGAAAAATCATCGATCAGTCAGACAGCCCCCCTCTGAACAGCATGTAGCATGGATAATGTAGTCGGGGCGGCAGCACCCCAAACATGTCTGGGCCTTCCACAGAGTGAGGATGTTATGTGTAGAAAAGTACTTCTTAGGCCTAAACAGATAGCCTAGCCTTTTCACAGTACTTGCCGCAACTGAGATGTGTTCGTGCCGAATCCAGTTCTCGAAAATCTGGATTCTCACCAACCGAAATGAACGGCTCTTTGGTAGAACTTGGTAATCCATCGAAACCGGATGAATGCTAGGGTGCTTCTTGTTAGTCATGGTACAGTACTATGTTTTGGAAGCATTGAACTGTACCAGATTGTTGCATCCCCAATCATTCATAACCTTCAAATCCCTTGTCAGAGAGAAAGTCGCTGCTAACTTTTTCTCTCGGTTTCTGCATGTAGAGTGTTGTCATCAACATACGTGATAGAAACAATGTCGGAACCAAGACCAGTCCCTGGGAAACACATGCGATGCTTTGTAGGATGAAAAGGAGAACGTCGATTACGACGGTTATCTTGCGGCCAGATAGGACTCCTTGATGAATTATACAGGGTGTCCGCAAAGTTGGGGTTTTCCTTTACACGACGTGTAGATCTTGAAAACATAAGCAATTTTTCTTAGTACCATATACACCAATGTCTTAAGGGAACCGAGATAAAGGGCTCTGCAACACCAAAAATATCTGAATACCGTCCTGTAGCCGCGACCCGGGACATCACAGATTGGTACAAGGTCTCAACGCGACGGCAGAACTGGGTCGGGGTCAGTGTGTCAGGTCAGTATGCAACCTTCAACCGATGGTTACGGTCACGCATGTAGAGGTAATCGCGTAGACGAGAATCTCTAGAGACGTGGCTAGAGAAGTGCAAGTATCAAAAACTAAAGTGTGGCAAACGCTGCGTGAAGAGGGGCTATCCGTTTCACGTCCAACGTGTACAAGCCCTTCAACCTGACGATTTTCCAGCAAGAGTGCGGTTTTGTGAGTGGTTGTTGCATCAACATGACAATAATCCGGACTTTTTGAAGTGCATATTGGTGACAGACGAATCTACGTTCACGCGTAATGGGGTGAATAACTTTCGCAACACTCATGTTTGGTCAGTAGAAAATCCGCACGCAATTACGCAACATTTTGCCTTCCTTGTTAGAAGATGTGCCATTAAGTGTAAGACAATCAATGTGGTTTCTGCGTTTGCTCGGTAGCGCGTCAGCTGATTTCATTTTCTGTTGGAGCGGTAGGATTTCGGGCAGAGACGTACTTAGCCCTTCTCGTCAACTGGAGAGTAAGTACTTTTTCCTTTATTTTTTTTTACTTGGTCGCCCTCGTTTCACTACACATTACCTTTGTTATTTCAAGGGTAGTTCTTTCTGAAAAGGAAAACCCCAACTTTGCGGACACCCTGTATTATTATATATATCCTTTTTACACCAAATTTTCTCTCTCAAGTAAGTATTGACACTACTGTCTTCAATAAAATGTTCTTTAGTTGTTGTCAAATAAAGGCATTCCTTATAAGCCGAGGTTAGGCGAAAATAACACTTCTTTCTGATGTTTCTTAGCGGCGATTGAATAACAAATTGGATTTTTTAGCTAAATCAGATTATTTATAAATAATTGTTTGATTTAATGTGGGAATTCTTGCACAAATCGTACATTTTTTCGCCAAAATAAACATATTTTTAATTTTATTTAATTGATTCATTACTTTACGTTTTCTGATTGGTCAATACTGAACCACAGGTCAAATTTTTGACATCATGAGTATATAGTTGCCTACCTTTTCTCTGACGATCAGCTGGACACTAACAGCAACTTCATTTCTGACAAAACATCTAGAAGTTATCACTATTTGAGGTACAATAATCTGATACAGGAAAATGCTTCGAAAGTTCAGTACTGTACATTGACTAACAAGAAGCGTCCCGGCGCTCATCCGGCTTCGATGGGTGGTAGAGCTCTACCAAAGAGCCGTTCGTTTCGGCTGGTCGAACAACAGCTGCTGAGAAAATTTATTTATTTGTGTATAACTAAGAACACCACTGGCTCCTTATGGTGGCCGAAATGCCTCTAATTTCACGACTCATTCATTCAGTCATTCATAACTAAGAAGTGCTTTTCTCCATATTCCTTCTTACTCTGCACAAGGTGCAGAGTATTCGAGTACTGCCCACGGGTTTGAGGTGTTGCCGCCCCGAATACATTTACATCATACAAGGTTGTGCGACGGATCGATGACGCTTCTTTAGCGGTTGGCCGTAGGTCCTCAGAGCTCTCCTCTATGATATCGCCGTGCATTGAGCCTGCGTGGCGGGCTCCTTAGCTCCTGCCTCAAAGCCTGTCGAACTTCGCTAGTTTTGCTGACCTATGAAAATTGGATTATCAAGTTGTTTTAAAAAACGGCCGCGGTGTGTCAGTATTCGGGTTTCTGCCTACACAATAACGTCAGTTTGAAAAGGATGCGGGCCCCTTGAGGACCCTGGATCTTCCGTTTCGGCTAGAACGAGCGCTTGTATGTCGTTCTAACGAGCTCCACTTAGAACGACATGACGTTGTCCGCGACTGAATACGTTGACGGTCCAACCAGATCACCCTGTATGCCTAGCGTCATTTCCACCGCGTTTATGCCCCACGTTACGAGGATTTTATGCCCAGTATATCCCGAGCTGCACCTATCCGAGCCACATTCGACGGACTTTGGAAACGGCTAACGGGGTAATACACACTACCGCTGCTTGGAAGATTGATATTTGCGATAGATCATGTTCCTTAACGGCTTTATACATTTTTCACGTGTCGACGGTAGTGTACGAAGCCCTGGAAGACGGCCAACTCTTGCAGGATTGATGGCTATTCGCAGGATTAGGATGTTTATTGAGGCCGTTGGTCTTTATGTGCACTGCAGCGGCCGTTTTGACGTGGATATGACTAGACCGAAAGGTCAAGGGTGAGGTGCTTTTGATGACCTTTTCACAGAAAAAGTAAATAATAATAATCCTGTTCACCCACTATTTGCTTTCCGTCTCTGTACAATTAACCGTACATAGGTCGCTTCATACTTATTCTCCATCATCAGTATGGTATAAGTCATGATATCACTCGGTGACAGAGACCAAGCGCATACCCAGATCAAAACGAAAACGTACCTTCACAAAATGTTTGTTGTTGCACAAATCTTATTTACATAAGTATGCTTGATATTTTTCTATCTGTTTGCCTTTCATGTATACCTATAGTCTTCCACGACGATTTGACAATGTATTTGGACATGGAAGACTACTAGGATTACTTTTTTGAAACAATCAATGAAGCCAAATGTGAAACCTGTTGTAAAAGAAATTGTACAGAAGGATTTATATATTCTTCAAAGTAAATGCAAAGGCCCTCATGCCGAAATAAAAAAATCTGGGTAACTTCTTTATCTGACTTCACAGTTATGAATCTATAGAAGAATTGGAAAAGGGATGAAAGCACCTTCAAAATGAGTTTGTCCAGTTCGCTAGATCAGTTGAGGAGAAGGAGAAGAGCTAAGGAATCAGATGTGCCTGGTTTAAGAGAAAACACCTAGGCTTTTTGACTTGGTACACGGATTAAATTTGAGGTGAACTAAACAAATTTTTGATTCGGTTTAGAGTGTAATTTTGAGTTTACTGAAAGTTCGTGCTAACGTTTGATTAGAGTGCAAGCCGTGGCCTTGAATGTTTGCGAACTTGCTCCACTGTGTAGTCCACTGATTCACGCAACAGAGGGTTACTGTGCGATTCCGCTTGACTATAACGTCGCTGCACCTGAAGCTTGACATAATCCCTCAAGTAAGGAATGTCAAGGTCTCTGTGTAGTGTCTCATTTGAGAAATACCATGGAGCATTGCAAATTGTCCGCAAAGTTTTGCTTTGCAGTACTTGAAGACTTTGCACGTGTGTCTTGGCAAAAAAACACCAATCCGCACATGCATAAGTAATGGATGGTCTAATAATCATTTTATATAGTCAAACTTCGTTTATTAAACTAAATTTGGAGGATCTGCATAACAAAGTATATAGTTTCCGAAACGCAATTTGGAATTTTGTTTTTATGGATGCTGTATGTTTCTTCCAGGTCATGCCTTTATCAAGGGTGACACCGAGATACTTGGCAGAATTTGTCCATGGTACACGATTTTCGTCTACAGAAACCTCTGCTGGACGACAAGTGCAGTGTCGTCAGCATAGAGGTAGACTTCACAGTTGCTGGGGCAAGGGACATCATGGATGAAATGCGAATAAAGAATTGGTCCCAGGACCGAACATTGTTAATTTTGATCCTAAACTTCCTTCCTTCAAGAAAGGATTTCAGTAATT